AGAGCGGTAAGGGGGAGAGAGAGAGAGCGAGAGAGAGGGGGGGGGGTGGAGAGGGAGAGAAAGCATCCTCACACCTGCAGACAGTACAGCGCGTCTTGAAGAGAAAAACCCTTTTTTTGCATCTGGCACACTGGCGCTTGCCCAGTTCTTCAAACTTGGGTAGACGAGCATGTGTGAAGGAGTTCGAGTGTTCAAACTGCGATCCGCCAGACCAGTGGGCTTCACGAGCTGCAGCGGAATCTTGATCTTGAATGGCAACAGCTTTCCCCTCAACGCCCTGACACCGAGGAGAGTCACTTCCTCCTCCCCCTCCATTGATAGCTCTATCTGCTGCTGCTGCTGCAGATCCCTCTCCTGCACCACCTCCGTCTCCCCCTCCCCGTGTATCACTTGCCTTGCCTGGTAGAGCGAATCCAACAACAACCTTGTTGCTACGCTGTGCGGGATCAGCATTAGAGTCGGCACCCCGATGTTGAGCAGAAGAGTCTGAGGTGGAGTTGGAGATGGAGTTCAAGACGAGACTGTCAATGCCGTACAGTTGTTCTCCTGGCAAAGGAGAGACAGTTGAGCGAGTTCTGTGATGATTATAGTGGCGATGATGGGCATCCCTTCGCCCGCAAGGCGTAGTTGACCGAACCCCCCCCCCCGGTGCAAGGCGATGGGTTTGCTCTTCATCGTAATGGTCAGTGCGGACAACAGAGGAAGAAACGGTGGAGGCTCGTGGACCTGCCGCGCGAACAGAAGAAGGGCCAAGGTCCCGTGCACTTGGCTCTAATCCTGGCCTCATAGGAGGGTGCGGAGAGAGACACTGGCGATTGGTAGGGGAGAAGGAGGAGAAGGAGGAGAAGGAGGAGAAGGAGGAGAATGAGGGCGAGGAGGACGTAGGGATAGCAGCTGAAGCTGGGGGAGCAGAAGACGCCGGCACGAGGCGAGAAACACTCGTCGTCGTCGTATCGCTTGTTCCCCCCTTGCTCCTTCCTCCTCCTCCTCCTCCTCCTCCTGCTGCTGCTGCTGCTGCTGCACTTGCTCCCCCTCCTCCTCCATTCTCTCCTCCCCCAGCTTCTTCCACCCCTCCCCCATTCGCAAACAGCAAACCGGCTGGTTGCATGGCTATCAATCCCCTAGGTCTAGGGGTGTCTGCCCGTGTTAGCTGCCGTACTGCGCGAGTCCTGACAGTAGGAGAGGGCAAGCCTGCCGCCCCTGCTGCTGAGGAGGAGGGAGATCCAGAGAGAGGAGAGGAGGTGGATGGTGAGATGCTTAGCAAACTCCCGCCCGCATCCACAGATAGACTTCGCCTTGAGCCGACGACCTTTGTCGGGACACGAATGGATGATGCACTTGGCCGCACTTCTTTGGAACATACAGACTCCTGCTGAGCAGTACCCGATGGCGATGAGGATCCCGACGACGTGGTGGTCATGCCGCTGCTGCCTCCGTACAACGAAGAACTCGGTAGGGAGAACGACACTGTCCTCCTCTCCCTCAGTCCTCTCCTCGACGTGATACTCCCGGCCAACGACGACGCCATAGCCGCAGAAGAAGAAGAACAAGAAGAAGACGAAGAAGAAGATCGACCAGACGATGGATCATCTAGATGAACGGTGGCAAAGGGAGTTGGTGTTGATCTTGATGACTCGGAGGGAAGAGAGTTGTAATCCCGTAATGGAGGAGGAGAAGGAGGAGAGGGAGGAGAGGGGGAAAGGAGGGGAGTTCTCTCCATGGATTTACAACTGGGTGTTGTAGATGAACTAGAGAAAGACGACGAGGATCCATCTGCAAGACGAGTTTCGTCCACGGAATCCATAGCCATGAGCTGGAGCTCAGCGCACAAGCACGATGAAGATGATTGAGCGCTGTTTGCTTGGGTGGTGGATAACGCGGAAGCCCCAATGATGAGCAGATCAGGCGCGGCTAAAGCCGCAGCAGAAAACAGACAAGAAGACTAGGAGGAGGAGGAAGAGAGAGAGGAGGAGGAGGAGGAATCGAACGAGGTCCGCCGACCAGGTGCAGAAACAGCACCGTAGAGAGAGAAGGAGATCAAGTGGGAAGGCAATGGGAAAGCGGAGGCGGAGAAAGGACGAGGAGAAGAAAGCGTAAACGCCGCTGATTCTCCTTCAACAAATCTCGGCTCGGCAGAGGCTCGCGGTACATACTCTTCTCCGTACAGGCTCCGTACAGGCTCCGTACAGGCTCCGTACAGGATCCGTACACATGAATTATTTGTAAAGAAAAAAAAAGTACGAAAAACAAAGTAAGAGAAAACGGATACCCCCTAACAGGGGAGACAAAGTGGAAACAGCTCGAGAGAGAGAGAGAGAGAGAGATCAGATCCCCACTCCGTCGTTTTTCCTTTCCTCCTGTTTGTTTCAGCGTGGAGAAGGAGGAAGGATTTGAACGAGAGAAAAAAAAAACAAAAAAAAACGGGTTTATCGCCTGTCACGCGGGGTACGGCATCAAGACGAAGAGGAGAGAAGAGGAGAGAAGAGGAGAGAAGAGGAATCTAAAAGAGAGAGAGAGAGGGAGCAAGAATATATTGTTGCCATGTGGCACGCAACGTGGCATATGCCCTCAGGGGATGATAACGAAGAATCGCTACTCGCCACGTGGCATATGACAAAAAAAATCAAGAGATTAAAGAATAGAGAAGAGCAACTGAGCCTAGCTTTCAGTTGTGTACACGCATATGCGATGATGACGTGTCAGCTTGAGATTCGCCCTTGATCCACGTGGCAGCTCGAGATTGGCCTTAAAGTTGAAATACAGAGTCAAGTCCGGATCCCGATCATACTATGAGATGAACAGACAGACTACAAACAATCAGTCGGAATTGAATTGTCTGGGGGCGGTCGGTTCCATGTCGGGATATCTCAAGGCCGTCGGCCTTAAAAAAAAAAAAAAAAAAAGAAAAAAAAAAAAAAAGAAAGAAAAGAAGAAAAGAAGAAAAGAAAATAAACCCAAGAATCTGTCTACTCGCAATGTGGCAAAAGGAGTCGTCAAGAGAATAATTACTCGCCACGTGGCATATGACGTCAACAAGACGATAATCAAGAACAAGAATCTATACTGGCCACGTGGCAAAAGGTATAATAATCCAATGAAGACGAAATCTAATCAAGAATATATATATATACTGTCGACACGTGGAGAATAATGAAGAAACCTCTACTGGCCACGTGACGTGGCACATGAGGCCATCATCAAGAGTATAATTAAGTATATATCAACTTGCCACTCGTGGTGTAAAGTAATACAATCAATCAAGAGGACAAGCAAGAATATACATCCTCTCGCCACGTGGCATAGAATGATCACACTCTGCGAGACTGATATACTGATGCCTTTTGGCTGCGTGCAAGTGGGTCCTTGTGACACACGGGGATGGGGGCAGCCAGCGCTCAACCTGTCATCCACGTGGCTGGCCTTGTACGTAAGAGGTTATGAACAGGTGGAGCTTTCCTTACCTCCTTCCCTTTCCCTTTTTTCCTTTTCCTTTTTTCTTTTTCCTTTTTTGCGCTCTGATTCACAATGTGACAATATATATGTATACTGATATATATCGTATATATATATGAAAATAAACAAATTTATATATATATAAAATCAATCCCAAGGAAGAGGAGATCAGAATAAGACAAAAAAAGAACCCGGACAAGCAAAAAAGCGAGAAAGGACAAAAAAGCGCAGATCTCTTTGTCCTTTTGTACAGCAACTCGTCGCCACGTGGCGGCTCCAGGAACGAGTATTTGATGATGACGGCCAGATTTCGCGATGACAACGTGTCAGCTTGAGATACGTCCTTGATCCACGTGGCACCTCCAGAGCTTGAAAAGGATCACGCGCACCTGCCGTTCTCCATGTGTGCGTCGCTCTGCGACTTTATATTCAACTCCTCCTCCTCCTCCTCCTCTTCTCTCAACTACTGTTTTCCATTCTCTCTCCCTCCATACTCTTCTCTCTCTCCCCTCCGTACACTCGTCTCTCTCTCTCTCCTTCGGACACTCGTCTCTCTCTCTCTCTCTCCTTGCAATACTCTCCTCTCTCTCTCCTCCCCGCCGCTTCTTCTTCTCCCATGACGCTTCCCCCTCTCTTTCTCCCTCTGTCCATCAGGCACGGAGCCTCAGGACCCCATCTTCACAAAGGACCACGAGCAGCAATCCTTCGCTTCACGCACAGCAGAGGGAACCACTGATTGCTATCTCCTTAAACGTTAATGCTTCCGTGAAATTTCCACACACACACACACACACACACACACACCACACACACACACACAAAGAACTACGCGCAGCAGGACTCCGCGCGCACAGGAGCGGGGAGAAGGCCCTATAAAGGGAAGAACCAGAAGGAACCAAGAAAAACAAAGAGGAGAAACAAAGAGGAGGAACAAAGAGGAGAGCTCAAAGATAGGTAGAGAAGAAGGGGGAGGCGAATCACTGATCGCGGCGTGCACTTGAAGTGTCCACTGTCAAAATAAAGAGTTGTTTGCCCCAATTCACAATTTCCTCTCGGATCGCCAAAGAGATAAAATAAAGAGTAGTTTGTCCCAATTTCGCTTCCAACGTTGGGACAATTTCCTCGACCCGTGCGAGCTTGATCGCGCGAAAGCGTGAGAGGGAAAGAGAAGCCAACGTCTGCGAAAGGACAACAGACAAACGAAGTCCATCAGAGAAATCACAAATGAAGATGTTAAACAAAAATATCCACACCCAGCGAACCCCTCTGTAGGAAAGCAGACGCAACACGGATACGAAAGATGGCAGGCAATCAATGGAACAAATAAAATGGATGATTAGTCCGTCGAAAATTACTCCAAATTCTTGAACAGTACCCAACCTCTCTCTCTCTCACTCTCTCTCTCTCTCTCTCTCTCTCTCTCTCTCTCTCTCTCTCTCTCTCTCTCTGTGTGTGTGTGTGTGTGGGTGTGTGTGTGTCTCTCTCGTTCGCTCCCTCGCTCCTAGACGCGCGCGCGCGAGAGAGGGGGACAGAGAGAGAGAGAGGTCTCTGGGTAAGCGCGCGCACGGACAGACAAGCGCAACCATAAGCACGCGCCTGCGCCATCTGCGGCAGATGCTCTCTCTCTCTCTCTCTCTCTCTCTCTCTCTCTCTCTCTGTGTGTGTGTGTGTGTCTCTCTCTCTCGTTCGCTCCCTCGCTCCTAGACGCGCGCGCGAGAGAGAGGGGGACAGAGAGAGAGAGAGGTCTCTGAGTAAGCGCGCGCACGGACAGACAAGCGCAACCATAAGCACGCGCCTGCGCGATCTGCGGCAGATGCTCTCTCTCTCTCTCTCTGTGTGTGTGTGTGTGTGTGTGTGTGTGTGTGTGTGTGTGTGTGTGTGTGTCTCTCGTTCGCTCCCTCGCTCCAAGACGCGCGCGCGAGAGAGAGGGGGACACAGAGAGAGAGAAGTCTCTGGGTAAGCGCGCGCACGGACAGACAAGCGCAACCATAAGCACGCGCCTGCGCGATCTGCGGCAGATGCTCTCTCTCTCTCTCTCTCTCTCTCTCTCTCTTTTTCGAGCGCACGCGCCATAACATACACAGGCAATCATATGGACGCGCGCACCCGATCTGAGCTTCATTCGTATCTCTGGTCAATG